AAAAATTTCCCCATAGAAGTTTTTGCCTTGTGGATGAGAGACACGCTACAGTAATAAGACCTTGTTATGGACGAGATGTTTAGGAAGTTAGCCTTTACACTATAATATAACAGGAAGTGACAGATATATATTGGATTGGTCAGGTAACCAAATAGGGGGTACTGAGGAATCCTCTCAAACAAATTCTCATGATAGGGAACAGAGGACTATCTGCTGGACTGTGGTAGTCAGATTCAGGATATTCACAGACATATACATGGAAGCTTGCTGCTGCCATGGGCCAAATAAGAGGCCAAGAAAAAGACAAGTACGGAACGAACAGTACAGGATGCCCTCTATCAGGGATTATTGAAGTATGTATTAATCCTCCTTATGTTTTATTGGTAGGCAATGTAAGTATTAATTTTTATGGAGAAAGCTTTAATGTGAGTTGTGTTAAGTGCATAATTATTAATTGTATACCTGAAGTAACCAATGGCACTCAAGTTATGCTACTTCAACAGCCATCCTTTGTCATGATTCCAGTTAATGTTTCGAGACCTTGATATAGTGGTAAAGGTTTACACGTTTTGGAAGAATTAAAGCAAGCTTTGAGTAGGCCACGAAGGGAATTAGGGCTAATTATGACTGGAATTTTTGCTCTGATTGCTCTCATAGCTACTGCCACTACTTCTGCAATTGCTTTGTCTGAGACAAAGTACAAACAGCTTCCAATGTAAAGCATTTATCTAAAATGTTACTTTGACACTTAGACCCCAAGAAGATATAGATATTAAGTTGGAACATAAAATAGATGCATTGTATGAGATGGTGCAGTTTCTGGGTGACGAAGTACAAAAAGTAAGAATTAGACCACACTTAAATTGTCATGCTGATTATGAATGGATTTGTGTTACCTCTAAAATATGTAATGAAAGTATTTATACTTGGAGTTTGGTTAAGACCCATCTGCAAGGAGTATGGAATAATGCAAATGTGTCCTTGGATTTGGTATGGTTATATCAGGAAATATTGTATTTAAGAAATTCTGAGCCACATAAATGTGATGCAACAAAAACAGCTGAAGATATTCTGAATAGGTGAGAGCTATGTTGCCCTCTTGGTCATCTTTTACTTCCTTTTTGGGAGGAGTTTTAGCCCTGCTATATTTGTACTACTTTGTATTTGTTTGTTACTCACTTTTGTCAAATTAATGATTAGTTCATTTTGGAAAGTTTGAGAAAAGGTGCATTTTATCAACCCGTGAACCTTACTGTAGTTCCTTTGCAGTGGACAGGTAAGATCCTTTTGAACTAGGTCAACCTAAGACAGGGCATGATTGATGGAATTCATGTACCAATGATGGGTAAGGCTTAAGACAGGCACAGTCTTTCTGCACCTTAACTATTAAGCTATAGTTTTAAAAAATAAAAAATGGGGGAACTGTCAAGAGCCATTTTACAGAGGCTCTCTGTTTGCATAGCTTTGCCTGCTTGCTCTTTGCTCTAGTGTAAAGGTTATGTGGTTTTCTGAAATTATAAACAAAATGTTCTGTGTCCAGTTTGTATTCAAGGTCTGCTGACTTTAGGAGGAGTTGGATCAAAGCCTCAGAGCTAACAGTTTGCATTCAAGGTCTGATGACTTTAGGAGGGAGTGCATCAAAGCCTTGGAGCTAAAAGTTGACTGTTCCTTGAACTGAGTAAGGAGGAGGTGGATTCTTGAGATAATATTGCTTCTCCTGTGTTATGTTAACATTGTATCTGGAGAATGACTTTTGGCTTGATTTCTCTTGCTGTAAGTAGTGTATCAGTAGGCTCAGAAAAATAAAATCAGGACTACAGTATTCACTGACAGTCCCCCACCCCCGAATCTATCTCTTTTCTCCATCTTTTTTCTTAATCTTCACTCCCCTCTCAGATACTGTTCGACTTTGCTGGCTCCACAGAACAATAGAATTTGACCTTGTAGCAGGAATGCAGTCATAAGTGATCCAACAAAACTTTATTTACAAAAACAGGGGATAGACCAGATTGGGCTGATATGTACTTCATTTTACAGCCCTCTTCTTTGGCCTTTTGTGAGCATTCATTTGTATCTTGAGCTTATTTATTTTGGCCTAAAGTATTTTTTTGTCTTAATTTGCTTTTAAGTGCCTTTTATTTTCAGTGCAAGATAATCACTATCTCCCAAAAGGCTGAAAAATTAATGCGGAAAATGACACATAATGAAGAATGTACCTTATAAGGAATAATTCACCCACACCCTGTCCTCTATCAATCCCACCCACTCTCAAATGTTCCTTTAATTTCTTTGGTGAGTAAAAGGAACCTTCATTACATTACATTATATTCAGCAAACTATTTTTAATATCTTGAGAGTTGTGTTTTGCTTCCTTAGACTTATTTTCATAAATCACATGTGTTCTTTTTTACACATGTCTGAGTTGGAATGGAAAACATCAAGGGTTTTTGTTTACATATTTTTTTTTTTTTTTACCCAGGTGTTGAATGTTCAGGAATGAAGTCCTGTCTGCAAATGGTGGGTGGTGGAACTTCAGAGAACTCCCAGATTTTTGTCACCTCTGGGGGATTCACCAGTCTAAGGCAGGTGAAGGCTACTCCAACTGGCAACGCACAGTCACCATACTAAATCAGTCAGGAACTCTTGAGGTTCAAGGACAGTGGGAGGAGAAAGAAAGAGGTAGGAAATAATCCCTTTTAGTATCGTTGGGTGACATTTCTCTCCCCCATACACAGGGAACCGTTGTCAATGCTGTATCTCACAATGATCCCATCTAAATCTAGTCCTGTGCCACTGGAGGCTATGTTTTCAACTTAGAGTTCCAAATGCATTTGCTGTCACAAATTAAAACAAAAAGTGCTCTGCCCTCCTGAAGTAGAGTATTTAGAAGCCATGCCCCTTATGGGGAAGTGATGAAAGGGGTTCCTGAAGCTGCTTTTTAACTAGGGATTACTTGGGTTATTTTTTCCTGTCTTTTTTCTTCCACTGTGTTTGTCTGGGAACTATTGTTGCTGGGACTATAGCAGTGAAAATCACAGACACTGGCCTTGGTCCCATGAAGCTCACACTCCTAAGATGCATTATGAAACCAAGAACAAACGTTCCTGGAAAAATACCCCAATAATGAAGTAACATTGATAGCCAGTGAGCACAGAGGATCCCATTATACTATGATGTTAGCTTGCTCAAAGTTTTACACACCTGCCTACGTTTGGGGTGCCATGAAACAAGCAGAAAGTATGATTAGGATGTGTTAGGGAATATTTCCTTCCTTCCTTCCTTCCTTCCTTCCTTCCTTCCTTCCTTCCTTCCTTCCTTCCTTCCTTCCTTCCCTCCCTCCCTCCCTCCCTCCCTTCCTTTTTCTTTCTTTCTTTCTTTCTTTCTTTCTTTCTTTCTTTCTTTCTTTCTTTCTTTCTTTCTTTCTTTCTCTCTCTCTCTCTCTCTCTCTCTCTCTCTCTCTCTTTCTTTCCTTTCTTTCTTTCTCACCCTGGCTGTCTTGAAACTCACTCTGTAGACCAGGCTGACCTTGAACTCAGAGATCCGCCAAACTCTGCCTCCGGAGTGCTGGTATTAAAGGCCTGTGTCACCAGTGCCCAGAGGGAATAAATTTTTAAACCTGGGAGAGTCAGATGCTGTGGGATTAAGGGCTGACTGGGCCTAGCTACATAGGAGCATGAACATACAGTACCCTCTTCATGGTAACTGCTGAGTTCTGATGTCACTACCAAAGCTATGTGTACAGATTTTGTTTTTCTGGTTTACAGATGTTCCTGAGTCATCTACTCATACTCCCACCATCTTATGACCTCTGGCTTGATGGGAACCGTAGAGTAGTAATTCACTGTGCTGTGAATTAGTGATGTCTGTGTCATTAAGCAATAAAAATCCAAATCATTTCAATAGGATTGAAATGTCAATTGCCCTTCCCCGTGAAGAAAGCAGCTTTTTATAATTCGAATTTGATCACATTCAAAGAATGTGATTAATCAATTTTTCTAGTGGAACCAAATAAATCTGAGTTAATTCTGGGGAAGCTGCTGAAACACTTTATGGAAACACACACACACACACACAAAAAAAAAAATAGTGGCTGCCTGGGAGTAACTAGAGTACCAAAGACATGGGTGCTGTGCTCGTCAAAACACACAGGGGGGAAAAACTTTTGCTATATCTTTTGTGGTTGATAATGAGCTTAATTTATATAATTAACTGTCTTTTGTACAATTCTTAGCACCACAAAGAGCACTCCTCTTTTTCCTTAAAAGAAAAAAAAAAGTCCCAGTCCGAACCATCAGCCTCTGTAGGCTGCCTTAATTGCTACTTTGCACTGCAGTAGACTATGACTGATTTTTGGCACATGCTATCATACACAAAGTTCCTAAAATAAAATGTTTCAGGATATCCTAGGAACTCTTAGAAGGCTTTAAAAGGGTACTAGCACACTGAAAGGGTAACTTTTGACTACAACAGTCTAGACAAAGAGAGTGGCTGTTGTAGCAGAACTACATGACTAATTGAGATCTTGAAGTGGATGTGGACTGTCCTTGCCACCTAACTTATCATGGTTAGGGGGAGGCTGAGAATCCAGTTTTGATAAAGACAGTTTTTTTTTTCCTCCCCAAGTGACTATACATTTAAATAGCTAAAACATCTGTGCAGCAACCTAGTAAAACATGTAGACTCGGAACGTTTGAGCAAAAAGCCTGCCAAACAATTGCTTGAGAGGGACTTTGCTGAGGGAGAGCACCAAGATAAAGCAACTGCTGTTTGTTTTGTCTAGTCAAGGGAGAGCCAAGGCAACCAATATTTTGAGTTTCTTTTATTCTATTTGTGAAGGATTATTTGAGAAAGGGTGTCGTGGGGAAGTTTCCTGACAGGAATTTTTAAAGCTGTCTGTTAGCAAGAGAGTCTTGGATGTCATCGCCTGACAAACTCTTTGAGACCAGCTACCAAACCACGAAAAGTGACTTTCTTTCTGAGTCTTCTCTCCGGTCCTTCTGATGGAAGCAGAGACAGGGAACACCATGGAGACTGGAAAGGGGAACAACCGAGGCATTCGAATTGCACTGGCCCTGTTCATTGGTGGCACCCTGGTGCTGGGCACACTGCTCTTTCTAGGTAAGTGGAGTACCAGAGGCCAGGGGAACTGGGCATCTATGGGGAATCTTTCTAATTCTTTATTCTAGAAAGCCTTGTGACAATGCACGCTGTCTGAGTATGTTAAATAATAAAGATGCACCCTCAGCATAACAACGTATGTCAATGAAAAAGGAGGCTTCTCTGTAGTGCTAAATATATAGTCCAGGAGGCAAAGTAGATTAGGAAGTGGTTTGGAATGGCTGGTGGATTCAATTGCACTGAGGAAAGAAAATCATGTATTATATTTAACAAATTGAGTGTTTATGAATTCATAGTTAGATACTTGCATTTGCTTTGTGAGGAAACAACCACACTATACTGGAATTTCTTTTTGTCTGACTTTTGTTATTGTTCGATCGATTGAAGAAGTTACAAAGTGCAATTCATGAAAGATAAATCAATCCTTAAATGGGATTTTTCAGGTCTTTTCAAATCCCGTGATTTTGATGGATGCAAAATTGTTAACTTCACCTTTCTAATAGGTTTAAAAATGAATGTGAAAGAACGCAGAGGTTTTCCTTTTAAGATTTGAAAAGCATTGTGATTCAGTTATTTTAATAACTCCTGTGAGAATGATGTTCTTAGAGAGAATGTGGAGACAAGAACATATTTCTAGGGGGAAAAAGATGGAATCTGTTAGAAAGGGATAGGGGATGCCCAAAACTTTAGAGTTTCTAAACCCCTTGACCATTTTCCTTAGTAAAAAATTTTTTATAACTTATAGTATTTCATTGGCTTGAAGGTCACCTAGAAACAAGCTCTATACTTAAGAGACTCTAGGTGTACTTTGAAATGCAGCAGGCCTGGAAACATTCCTTGGCATATGCAGGATGCAGGAGGCCATGTTTATTTTGGCAAGAGAAAACCAGTAATTATCTTTTAAAAGAGTTAAGCTTGTGTGGTTGAGAACTCTGCTAAAACGAGCAAACCACCTTTCCATGTTTTCTGTGGCTGAAGATTTAGGAAATTAGATCAGTATATTGCTTTCTGGTGAAGCTAGACCTCCTACCCTGTGACTCAATTTGTGGTTCTTGAAAACTGTTGTGAGGTTTCTCCAAAGTTGGCTTTAGACAATCAAGTTACTGAAATTTAAAACTGAAGGAGAAATTTTATAGGCATGCTAAGAAACTACACATGATGTGGGAACTAAGAGGTTAGTTTTATGCATACTCCCAGACTTACAAATCCAAGTGGTCATCATGTAAATTGAAATATGTACTGTTTTCAGTGATGTTAATAGCATTTTGCAATCTTTTTCAATTCTACTTTTATGATCATTATAATTGGAGACCATAGTCTCTAGAATTTGATTAGTTGGTAGTAAATATTTTTTTTTTCTTATGAGAAAACGATTGTTTTACCCAGGCGTGGTGGCACATGCCTGTAATCCCAGCACTCTGGCAAGCAGAGGCAGGAACATCTCTTTGAGTTTGAGGCCAGCCTGATCTACAAAGTGAGTTCAGCACAGCCAAGGCTACGCAGAGAAACCCTGTCTCAAAAAACAAAAACAAAACAAAAGAGATGATTTTTTTTTCACACAAGCACTAAAGTTTTTAGGTGAACTTCCCTAAATCAAGCATCGTTATTATGGGAGAGGCCCGATTAAAAAGGTAACTTCCCAATATGTTTAGTAACCCATCTCTCACCTTGAATCTTCTGAAGGAGGTCTAATGATGATTGATAACAAACTGGACCAGCTAAGGGTGTGGCCTTATTCTATTTTTTTTTTTTGCTATTCTTGCATCAGCATCACTTGAGTGCTTGAGCTCCAATCCTAGGTCTAAAGATTCAGTCTCCGTTTTCACAAGCCCCAATAATATTCAATTGCATGTGCAAGTTTGGGGAAACATTGCTTTGGAATGCATCTATCTGAGGGTCTATACAAGAATATCTATCTGTCTGTCTGTGAATAGGTTCTCCCTATGTATACCTGTCTGGCCTAGAAATCACTATATTGATTACGCTGGCCTTGAATTTACTGTGATATTCTTGCCTTTGCCTCCCGATTGCTGGGATTATAGGCCTGTATGACCATATCTACTAGGAACATTTACATTTTTTGTCAACTATTTCAGCACTATGCTTTACTCACCACCTTTCTTCACTGTCTGCCCCAGGCACACCCATTCTACATTAGCTTGCTAAATGCCTGCAAAGCAATGTTCTTCATGACAATACTTTAGTTAGGATCTTCCCTTGAAGGTGCTTCCTGGCTGACTTTGCAATATGTACTCTACCTGTCAAAGTTCAGTCATATGCCTGCAATGTTTAATCCCACCTTACCTCTTTTTTGTCTTTGTCTTCTACAGAAAGAATGGTTGCCAGTGGTCTGAGTTGGTTTCAGAAAACCTAGGGGATTAGTACCCATAACTAATTTATTTTCAAGTATCCTTTTCTTCCCTTTTCCTTTCTCCCCAAAATCTGTTTCTCAGATGCAGTGGTCTGCAATCTTTTCCTGTCAAGGCCAGATGATAGTAAATATTTTTGGCTCTACTGCCATACATTCCTTGATTCAGGGCTCTGTTTTATTGTAGCACTAAACCATCCACAGACAAAATGTGCACAAATGGGAGCCAGGAAGATATGCTTTCTGGATACTGAAGCTTCCCTTCCATATGCTTTTCATATATTATGAAATATTATCCTTTGTTACACTTCCCCTCAACTATCAAAACTACCAAGGCCTTTCACAGAAATAGAATTAGGCAGTGGCCTGCATATGGATTGTGGGTTCCAGTGGGTACTTGGGTGCTGATGACCCCAGCTGTATGGTCTTTCTCATGCTTTCTGTTGTGTTGTGTTGTGTGTGTGTGTGTGTTGGGGATGGAAATAAGGACTTTGTGCATGTGATGTAAGTGCTCTATCACTGAGCTATGTTACCAGCCTCACGATAATACTCTGGAACTGCGGGTGGGTCCAGAGTTGCACCTATGGGGTTTCTAAAATGAGAAGGTTGCATCGTGTGGGGGTTCTAAAATGAGAAGTCAACCTGCTGCTTGACTTTATTTTTAAAGCTTCTTAACTGTAAAAAGGAATGTTAGAATTTTTATAGTAAAATATTTTTTTTGTTTCATTCACTTATTTCCGTTTTCTTTATCTGAGCTTGTTACATGTCTGTGTCAATGATTATTTCTTGTTTTGGAGGACTTCTAGCTTCTCATGTAGCTAAGGCTGGTTTGGAATTTACCATGTAGTAAAATTTGCTTTCAAGTTCCTGATTGTTCTGCTTCTTCCCCCGAAGTTTTGAAAAAGAATAACTTTTTAGCCATTTTATAAGATTTAAAAACGAAGCTACTGACAAGAGGGTGTTATCTACAATAATAAACTTCATATTTCCATTATAAAAATACTACCTGCTCATTAAAGAACATTTGGTAAACATGTAAAAATTAACTAAAAGGAAGCCCTCCCCATGGTTCTACTGTTAAGGTACATTGAAATGTCCCATACTGATCTTTATTCTATCTCTGTATTTTTACCCAGTTTTTTTCTTGCAAAAAGAAATAAAAATAATCCTTTTATGTTATAAAACTTTTTTTGAAAATAGGCCTGAGTAGTTCTGTAGGCAGGTTTCTTGAATCTATAATGTAACACAGATAAAAAGGCTGCTTGGAGGATAGGAGCAGAGAAAAGAACAAAGACAAAGCAGGCTCCTCTTAGGATGTGGGTTCATAAATAATAAGACATGCCACACTGGCAGGTGATCTTCAGGTCTTTAGCCTTAGCAAAAACAGAAGCACTCTTAGGCTTCCTGACTGTACCTCTCAGCCCCCTACACTTCCTGACTGTACTTCTCAGTCCCCATGGTCCATTTCTTCATGGCCATATTTTCAAAGATTCCTTGTTTTTGTTCACAGAGCACAGCAATAATGAATGCCTTATAATTTCTCCAGCTCTGGAGGAAAAACATGTATTTCAAAAAGGTTTTAATTTTAGGTTCACGTTTGCTAATGCTCAGATCCTAACTGAAGTTCAAAAAGCAGTGCATTTTTCTATGCTTTTGTAAAAACACTCACATCCAGCCTGTGCCTGCACCCTCCATGTAGGCAAAGACAGCTATGAATGTGGCCCAATACAAAATCTTAACTTACTTAAAATATTATGAGATTCTTTTTTCTTTTTTCTATTTTTTCTTTTATTTTTATTAATTACAGTTTATTCACTTTGTATCCCAGCTGTAGCCCCCTCCCCATCTCCTCCCAATCCCATTTTCCCTCCCTCTTCTCCTCTGGCCCCTCCCCCAGTACAACGATAGGGGAGGTCCTCCTCCTCTTCCATCTGAGCCTAGTCTATCAGGTCTCATCAGGACTGGCTTCTTTGTCTTCCTCTGTAGACTGATAAGGCTGCTCCCCCCTCAGGTGGACATGATCAAAGGGCCAGCTCATGAGTTCATGTCAGAGACAGTCCGTGTTCCTATTACTGGGGAACCCTCTTGGACACTGAGCGGCCATGGCTACTTCTGTGCAGGGTTCTAAGTTATCTCCATGCATAGTCCTTGTTTGGAGTATCAGTCTCAGAAAAGAACCATGTGCCAGATTTTTTTGGTTCCGTTGCTCTCCTTGTGGAGCTCTTGTTCCCTCCAGGTCTTTTTATCTCCCCCTTCTTTCATAAGATTCCCTGCGCTCTGCCCAAAGTTTGGCTATGAATCTCAGCATATGTTTTGATACCCTGCTGGATAGAGTCTTTCAGAGGCCCTCTGTGATAGGCTCCTGTCCTGTTCCCTGTTTTCTCCCTCTTCTGATGTCCATCTGGTTTTCCTTTCTGAATGAAGGTTGAGAATCTTACCATGGTCCTCTTTCTTGATTCGCTTCCTTAGGTGCACAGATTTTAGTATGATTATCCTATATTATATGTCTAATATCCACTTATAAGTGAGTATATACCATGTGTGTCTTTCTGCTTCTGGGTTACCTCACTCAAGATGATCATTTCTAGATGCCACCATTTGCCTGCAAATTTCATGATTTCTTTGTTTTTAATTGCCGAGTAGTATTCCATTGTGCAAATGTACCACAATTTCTGTATCCATTCCTCAACTTTTTTTTAAAGCTATTGTTTTGTGATTTCCTTGCATGATTCTCAAGCATGAAGACACTGTCATGTCAAAGGACTAGAAATTCCTAATAGGTGATATTGCCACTAGTTGGGAAGATTAAACATTGCTAAAAACTATTTCAGTTTTAGAGTGATTTGTGTGTGTGTGTGTGTGTGTGTGTGTGTGTGTGTGTGTGTGTGTGTCTCCAAGGTACAGCCTGCTCAGTTTGTGAGAGGCTATCTCTGTCATCCAAATCCAAAGCACACAAGATGGTTTGTTCCATCTCCTGAATTTCTGGACAGATAGATCTGGAGTGAAAACGTTCACTCTAGCAAGCTTTCAGGTACTGCTGTGGCTCTGGTGAGCAGACACTTTACCCATTCAAGCCACTCCTCCCCATATGAGAGGAATGAATTTCAGAATAAGCATGAGTCCTAGCAAGACTGTTTACATGTTTATCAAAGTGGTTCCTTGGTTTTGAACCAACTTGGTTTTTCACTACCATGTTAATACTGAGAAGCATGAACTGCTTATGTGCCCCAACGCATCTTACTCGGTGGTGGTCTGCTACAAATCCATTTATTTTGATCTGTTTTTTTAGTGAGTCAAGGTCTCCTAAGTTTCCAGTCTAAACAGGAGTACTGCCTGAAGCCAGAGTGCATAGAAGCCGGTAAGTCTGTTTTCTGCCCTGTGTCAAGTTATAATTTTAGTACCTTGGGGAGTGGAAGAGAAAACAGTTAGTATTTTTAGTATTCTGTTTACTTGAGGTTGACCAAATACAAAATACAATTTTGAAGACATTTCAAGTTTACTTTCAAGGTTTGGTATGAAGTAGTGGAGCTTGTTTTTTGTTTCTTTTCTTTTCTTTTTCGCAAAAGCTGAGCTGTTCAACCCTCATGATAAAGAATTCAGGAAAGGGCTTGAAAAGCAGTGTTCTCTCTTAAAAGGCAGAGACTGGAGATTGTGTGCATCCTATGGCTCCACTGAGGAAAGATTCCTCCTTTATCTTAAGCAGACTTTATCATCTGGGTCACTGGGTGTGGCATGCTTGATTCTAAACTGGGACCCTGTGGAAATCCTTGCCTCTGCTGGAATCCTCTTGTGTTCCTCTGTTCTGTACCACAAGCTGAGCTTCTTTGGAGGTGATAAGATCATGTATCAGTGAGGACACCAAGGCAAAGATTCATGCTTAAAGTTGCCCCGGTAGTGACACAGCTATTAAATTCTGCTTGCATTGCCATACTTCAGTCAGAGCCTACATTTGAAGAAGCTCAGTCCCTGCCTCCACCCCCTCCCTCCCATTCTTCAAGTGGGCAGAACCCTGGGCATTTTCAAAAGAGGAAGTCATAGATCAATTAAATATGCAGGGTTTTCCTTTTGACTGGAAGAGAAGAGATTAATGAATTATGTCACCATATATTTATTATTCATGTGAGGTATTTATGTCGAAGAACTAATTAGGGGGAGAAAAACAAAACAAATACACACACAAAGGGGTCAGAAGATGTATCTCAGTTGGTATAGTAGTTGCCTATCATTCATGAAGCTCTGAGTTCAATCCTCAACACACATAAATTGGGCATGGTGATTGATACACGGCTGTAATCCCAGTATTCTGGAGGTAGAAGCAGGAGGAACAAACAAGAGTTCAAGGCCAGCCTGGAGAGGCATGGAAAACCCCTGTCTCAAAGCGATTTCTGTCTTCCTGGAGAGAACTTTACTTTGAGGAGAAACACAGGCACAAAATCAGAAAGTAGGTTCCAACTAGCAGGCCAGGTGAGAGCAGGCCTTGAGTTTGAGACGGAGGTTGCAGAAGAATTAGGAGCTTGGGAGGCTTGCTGAAGGCGTTGTGGTAGTTGTGGGGTTGAGATGTGTTGTGGATAAAGGTGGGAATTTAGGGTGATGCTTACAGGTTAAGCAGTGACATTGATTGAGATGGGAGAGACTTAGGTGAAAGAATTCATGAGCTGCTGGCTATGGTGGTACACACCTTTAATGTTAGCATTCAGGAGGCAGAGACAGGTGGATTGCTGTGAGTTCAAGGCCAGCCTGGCCTGTATAGTGAGTTCCAGGGCAGCCAGTGCTACACAATGAGACACTGCCTCTCTCTCACACATACAAAGGTCAACTTGCACTATCAGTTCATGCTTCTCAGTATTAACATGGTAGACAAAAGCTAAGTTGGCTCAAAACCAAGACAACACTTTGATGAATATGTAAATAGACGTGCTAGAACTCATGGTTGCTCTGAAATTTATTCCTCTCATATTGTGAGGAGTGGATTAAGTGGATAGAACTAGACCAGTGTTCAGGAGAGTCTGGGCACCAGGACCACAGTAGCACCTTCAGGTTGTTATGTTAAGTCCCCTTCTTGTCCCGTTCTTGAGTGATCAATTTTTTTTCCTTGAAAAAGCAATGTGCTGAATGACTCAAACTTGCCATTTCTGAAAATTTCATAATAATTCTATGAAGATGATACCCGTAGATGAGAGAATGTGGTCTTCTCAAAGCAAACCACTTCTGGGTCACATCGTGAGTTAGGGGCAGAACTAGCTTTCAAGTCCCTGACTGTCTCCCCTCCTTCATTTCCTTTGTGCCAAGCCAAGTATTTCTGTGCACAGAGAACTCTGCTTTTTTTTGTGTGACACTGGATTCACTTGAGGGTCTAGTGAGTAGACATTCCTTCCAGCTACTTAGTATTGTTCCTGGAAAGGTGATGTGTTTTTCCCCTTCGGATTCTTGTAGAATTCCCATGCTCTTTTCTTTTCCAAACTTGAGCAGTTGGCCTGGAGGCTTAGCAAAGGGAGATAGTATTTCATGAAGCAAGGTGAGGGACCAGGTTTTACAATCAGATGGCAGGTTTTAAATTTCATGTCACTTGGTAGTTTAGCTGTGATAGAGTTCTTGCAGGTGTGAGAAGTTAAAATATTCTAACCGTAAGTGTTCAATTTTAGTTTAGACAACTTGAGGGATGGAAGGCCACTTCGTGAATTTATTTATTACAAATCATAATAACGCGAGTAAAAATGGACAGGGTGATGTTTTGTGATGTTACCTTCTGCCACCTAGTGTGTTTTGCCTTGCTGTTCTGTTTTTAATTTTCACATTAGTAAATAGCTTCCTGATGTTAGGAAAACACTGACTTTTCTGTTTCTATAGTGCATGCTCACCAAGGCCTCATCCTTCTTTAATGAAATACAAGCTTCACTATGCTCAGGGAACTGTGCAATAACTATTGAGTCCACATGGTCTAAGAATTGGTGCCAAGCTTGGCTTTATGCAAGAGCTTATGTTCCGGTCACAAAGGCCACATGGGCAGAGGTGCTGGTGGTAAAAGTCCCAGAGATGCACATGCCTGATCATCTTCTTTTTCTTTTCTGAGCAAGTGACAGTCATTTCTGAGAGCCTTCTTTCTACAACTTTCTGCTTTTTACTTTTCTCCATGATATCATGTATTAGCTCCTCTTTGACAATGAAAACTATAGAAAGACTACAGAGAACCAATGAATGGGTTTGTTAATGATGAGTAAGTATAGAGAGGCTGATGGATTTGGAACATAGACAACCTAGACACTTCTAGACCACATGATCTGTGTTAAATACATGATCATCTTGAGCTGCAGTTTTATCACCTATGAAATGGGACTAGATTTGTGAACTTTCATAAGATTGTGAGAGTCAAAGAAAATAAAAACAGTAATAGTATCCCTGCATCCAAACCCCCAGCCCCTGAAAACAGTGTAATATCCACTTTGTAACAGTTTATTTGGTAAAACTGTGTATATAAGCATAAGTAACTAATGTGAAGCAATTTTAGATATCATTTCTTCCACTTCTGATGGTATGTTTATTTCCTTGTAGGAATATTAATGTGCTTGCTTCAGTGGTACCAGTACAGCCATTGTTGAACTGTTATATATCACCCATGGCTATACATGCTGTATTTCTTTTGCATAACTTGAAAATCTGCAAGCTCTGGAAATCTAGCATCAATTTTTGATAACTGGTTATGGAATTTTATTACCAACTGCTTATGTGAATCATTCTGGGCTTTGCTAACTATGTTTGTACAAACTCAATTGAGAAATGCCTCCTTCAGATGGGCTGTAGGCAAGTCTGCAGGAGCATTTTCTTGATTAAGGATTGATGTGGAAGGCTCTGACCCACTGTATGCAGTACTATCCCTGGGCAGGTTTAAGGTGGATTAACATGAGTCTGAGGAACAAGCCTGTAAGCAGCATTCCTCCATGGTCTCTGCTGCAGTTCATGCCTTGTCATTGTCTAATGATGGCCTGTGTAAACCAAATAAAGACTTTTTTTTTCTGAAAGTTGTTTTTGGTCAAGGTGTTTTACCATAGCAATAGAAACCTAAGATTAATTTAGCTATTAATTTAATTTATTAATTTAGCTATTGCATAGTGCTTCTGTCATTCCAACCCAAACAGCCTCTTTCTAGAGTTTGTGAAAAGGCTTTATTGCTCAAAAAGAGCATGGCATATAGTTCTGAATACAGAGGAAATGTAAGTGACTTGAATATTTCATAGAAATATTAATAAGTAAGGCTGTATAAAACTCTCCTTTGAGCCCTGATTGGAGCTAACACCTCCGAGGCTATATGTGGAGGAATACTTTCACCTGTACCATATAGACTAGTGGAAGCCTGTTCAACAGTTAACCTCATGGGCAACACTTGAGAACGTGGCAGCTTTTGCTTTCACAGCTTTCCTTCACAATCATATTTCTTTTTATTAAAACTAGATTCTTAGTTTTCTCCATGGAGCTGAGTAGGGGAATGAAGTTTTGGTGTCTTGACATCTATGGTCCCTTGGAATTTGAAGTCACAAGTCTGAAGTTCCCCACAGAAAGGGCAACCCTGCTCCTAACTGTGAATGCTGAATGATTAGTTGCAAGGCATGGGGAAAGGTTTTCTCCCTCCATGGGCTTCTTTCCAAATTCAGTGTGAGTGATGTATTCTTTCAGTTTTCGATCAGGGTCTAGGTCAGAGCAGAGTTTGCAGTTTTTCTTAGTACCTGTGAGAAAACCCAAGGAGTTGGGGGCAGGGGGATTTGGGGAAGGAAGCAAGAAAGCAATGAGCTTATGTGAGTCAAAGTGCACATGAAGGCTCCCCTGTGAGACTGTAAATATTGTGTGGAACTGAGATGTGTGTGATCCATGTCCTTGAGGTGTTACATAGCAGATTCCATCTGTGGCTGAACAGACTGACTATAAACATAAGCCAGAAGTAAGTTTTTTTTGTTTCCCCTAACACTTTTGAATATTAAATCATAATAATAAAATAACAGCAGTAAGCAAAAGTGTAGTTAGAGACAATGGAATTAGTTCTGGGGAGGAAAGACAAGAAAATTAAACCAACCTGAAATTTATCATAATTCAAGTTTCATTTCCTATTGTTTATTTTAAAGATAGTGGTTGAAAATGGTGAGGATTTTGAAATCCTATCGAAATTTTGTGCTGGGCATGGTGGCTCATGCCTGTAATGCTAGCACTGAGGAGGCAGAGGCAGAAGAATCAGCATGATTTATAGGCCAGCCTGGCCTAAATATTGAGCTCTAGGCCAGCTAGAATTAAAGAGTGAGGCAATGTCTCTCCCACTAAAAATACAAAAATGAAATAGAATATTGGAGTTTTTGTGTATTCATTTCAATGACTCCAAACAGTGGTTTGACTTTTCTATAAGATGCTTAGGGAGAGAAACACCTAACCTTATTTTTTAACCTGGAGGAACTGCCCACATAACCAAAACATACATCTCTAAATTTACTAGATTGCTCTGGGGTGGAAGATTCATTCTAATTTAGCTGAAAACTCACTGGATTTTCATTATTTCAAATAGAAATGTATTCTGGCATTAATTAAGGTATGAAAATTGCCTAGAGTGTCTTCCTTCCAATGTCATTAAAGTATTGACTGTGTTTTAAAAATCAGTTGGTGCACATCTTTGCAGCCAGAAATTGTGTTCCCCTACCAAGGAACATGGGAGTGGGAGGAGAGATGGCTCAAAGCCAGAATGGGGTGTGTCCAAACCCCGGAAATCTCATCCTGATATAGGCAGGAGTAGGACTGCCCTCCCCCTGCCCCAGGCCTGGATGGCTTGATTAATTTAGCCCTATGCCCCACCCTTGTCCTTCTGAGGAGGTCAAATAGCCTGGTTAAACTTCCTTTTCCCTTATATGGTCATGTCTGGCAGCACCTGGGATCCTTCCTCATGCAAATAAGGCATTCCAACCACCCTGGCCCTGGCCAGTGATGTACACTCATCCCTATAGCCCTTACTCACTCACCAGAGGTTTAAGTGGCTTCTGTTTCCCCAATTAAACAAGCTGCCTTACTAAAGTTCTTTCCAGAGAAATCTGTTTCTCATGCAATCAGCTGTTCTTGCCTCCTGCTTCCTTCCCTCAGGATCCACCAGCAGTGGTGGCCCTGGGAACTCTGCCAGAATGGGCGGGGAAACCGAGTTTGAAGAGCATGTAATAATTAATTTTCAAGCTCACAGACACAGCCAAGTGTAGCGGCACCTAACTGTAATCCCAGGACTTGGGAAGCTGAGGCCAGAAGATGACTAGGAATTTGAGGCCAGCCAGGGTTTGAGTATGAAATGATATTTTCTTTACATGGCCTCTTATTTTCCAGGGGACATCTTCAAAGGATGGTCCTAAGGTTCTGTTTGAAGGGATCCATTAGAGAGGGTGCTGGGCTTCTTAAATGTTTACCTTGGGAAATCACAAGAAGCCATCCCTGTCACTTCTGTTGCTCAAATAAAGTGAGAAAGCAAGGCCAGCATCACTGGAAACTGGGTAAACTGATTTTGTTTCATAGGAGGCAGGGCCAAGTTAGTTTTCAGGGGAATATGTGGAGTGGAAGAAAGGCCAATTTTTGGTCACATATGTCAGTGATATTCTTTTTTTTTTTCATTGATAATCTTGTTGCACACCCCAAAGATATTAGGGACAATTTGATAGAATAAGTAACAGTAATTTCACCTAACATTTTCCTATATACTTTGAAGACAGTCGTTTTTATATGAGGTTCATTCAGCGAGACACTTTGGAGATAAACGTTGAGGTCAAGGCTTGGAAACTGGTTGATATGAATTTTTTTTGTTTAATTTGGAGAAGAACAGTACATGACATCTAGTACTAGTTATTAATCCTATGATTTTCTTTTTAAATAGCTGCTGCCATTATGAGCAAAGTAAATCTTTCTGTGGATCCTTGTGAAAATTTCTTCCGGTTTGCTTGTGATGGCTGGATAAGCAATAACCCAATTCCTGAAGACATGCCAAGCTATGGAGTTTATCCTTGGCTGAGACACAATGTTGATCTCAAGTTGAAGGGTAAGTTTCTACTAGAGTTTGGTGGTACTCTTTCCCGAGTTTAATTTCGACTGTTCACTTTTGAAACTATACTAAATTCTTCTCCAAAAAAAAAATGTTTTAGTAGAAAATAGAAAGTTTTCTAAATTTCAGTTTCTCTGATTTCCTTAAACACAATCCCATTCTAGGTTGTTAGTATTTTGCTTGATAATGCAATGGCAAATTCTATTGCAGGAAGTTAAATAACACTTAATAGAATGTAGGGGAACAGAGGTAGTTAGTGACCAGATGCTATATCAAGAAATGTATTTGTCTACTATTTTCAAGGTAAGCCTCATTTCTTTCTTACTGTGTCCTGGATTTTCATGGATTATAGAATGTATTTAACACCTCATTGTCTTTTGACATCATTTTGAGAACTCTTGATGATCGATTGTTGTCATAATGTTCCTGTTAACTTTTAAGTTAGCTTTCATGACACTCACCTTTCTCCCATGACCTCTGGAGCAACAACAAGCTCACACACACATACTCACAGGTGCACACAGACATTCTCATGTATGCTTGTGTAACCCTGCCAAAAGTTGGAAACGCTTGTTGCTGTACAAGACTGTGTTTGCATTGAGTCTAATTTTTATGTTAAGCTGTTGGAGCAAGCTTTTCCAGGCAGTAAGTAGAAAGATTTCAAAACTAGATAAGGTAACTACAGCTGGGATACAAAGTTAATAAACTGTAACAAAAATAAAAAAAATAATTAAAAAAAGATTTAAGGAATGCCTCTGTCAAACAGAAAAAAAGAAGATAAAAATCACAGTTTTTCTTCTTTTTCACAGCTGTGTGAGTTATGTTGTGTAATTTGCATTCAGTAACACAAACAATTTTGGGGAAGTGAGAAGAGTTATGTTTCTTTCTTCCCCATGTCTGTTTTTCCAAGATTTTAGTGAATGGATATTAAATGTACACCATTTTGTACATTGCATATAATTTGAAATCATTGGCCAAGTAATTAGAAACTTATTTTAACAGTGAGGAAAATATGTTTTCACAAATAGACATAAATCACATAACCTTCATTTTTTATTAGGAGGCTAAAATCTAGTCTTGATATTTTATGGGTGACAGTTTTAAGAATGTCATAGGTTTCCTCTAACCTAACAGATAGGATTTCTGTGTGGCGGAGCCATAAATAATACCTTGAGCATTGAATTCATAGGTTGATACTTATTTCTCTGTAAGATATTTAAAAAAAATTCTCCTTTCATTTCTGGATATGGGTGTTTTGCCTGCATGTATTTATGTATACCAAATGCTTTCCTGGTGTCTATAGAGGTCAGAAGAGGGCATTTGATTCTCTAGCACTCAAGTTAAGGATGCTTGTGGGCCACCGTATGTGTACTGGGAATCAAACTCTGGTCCTCTGCAAGAGTAACAAGTGTCCTTCATCACTAGTCATTTCTCTAGTCCCTCTCTGTGAGATATTAATTTATTTTGGTCCTTCATCTATCATCATTGGCTATTTTTCATTCACCTTCTCTGAATTTTCTTTCTTGGTAGACAGGTGAGTATACACATATATGTACATGCTCATACATGTAGGACTACCATTGAATAAGAAAAGTATGAGAATTCTGGATAGATTTCTTTCTATATTATAACAAAAGATTCCATAGCATTAGGTTATGAGGAAGTTATAATAATGTAAAGAACTTTCTTGTGGCATCTTAATGTAAAAGTTGTAATCGGCATTGATATGGATTCTTTGAGAAGACGGTCTATGAGCTGCTTCAGAATTCATAGAAGTGAGAGTAAATTATTGAGCATAGCATAATTACTCTGCTCTTTTTCTCTTAAAAATAAAAAAGATTTTCCTTTATATTTGGTGTGTTTGCTTATGTGTTTTCTTGTGTATTGATGTGTGTGTGTGTGTGTGTGTGTGTGTGTGTTTGTGTGTAGAATTAAGGTTGACAATGGGCGTCTTACTTGATCACTTGACACCTTATTTATTGAGGCAAGATCTCTAAATTTAACCCAGAGCTTGCCAATACGGCTAGTCTGGCTAACCTGACTAACAATTTTGATATGGTGGGGGACCCTCTCTCCCCATCTTCTAAAATCTAGAAAGTTGCCCAAAACTCTTACTTTATGAGCCTATATGCAAAACTTCTTATGCATACCTTTATATATATTTTTAAAAAATCAGCTGATATCATGCATTTGAATGGAACTTGTTTCTAATAAGTAAGACATGGATAACATCAATAGATAACATAGTAATAAATACCCTGGTTTGCATGTCCTTATCTAATTCTATCCTTGGAATAAATCCGCAGAAATGGAATTGTTGGATTGAAAGAATATTTATAATTAAGTTTTGACTCATATACTCAAATTACTCTTTGGAAGGTTTACTTTTAGGCTTTTACATTTTCTTGATGTATGAAATAACTCTTTTCTATTTCCACTCTCTGTCTGTCTCTGTGTGTATGTATGTATGAATGCATGTATGTATGTGTGATGTAAAGTAGAGGTTGGCAAACTGTAGCCAATGAGCCATATCTTGCCCACTTCCTGCTTTTGTGAAAATGGTTTGAATGGAGCATAACCTTCTTTACTTAGGTACACATAGTCAGTGGCTGCCTTTGTGCAACAGTGGTAAAGTTGAGTAGTTCGTACAGAAAGCGTAGTTGGTACAGAAAGCGTATGGCCAGCACAGCCTAATATGTATGGATGAAGAATGACAATTCTTGATAACAAAAACAAGCTTTGTTATATTTATACTAGATCTGATTAGACTTGTCCTGTTAATAGATTTTTGATAACCTCTCTGAAACTGTTTTAGATAGTTAATCATAAACTTAAGAAAGATATATACATTTTTCTCCCTCCCTCCCTGCTTTTTTCTCTTGGTTAGAATCCCCAGAATGCTGTTGAATAAAAGCAGCAATAATACATAAGTTTTCTTTTTTAAAAAATATTCTTTTAGTATTTTCTTTTTTCATTTATTTATTTAGTCTCATCCCCCTCCCTTCTCTCCTCCCAGTCCCACTCTTGTGTCTCCTTCCCCTAACTTCTTCTCAGAGAAGGGGAGGCCCCCAAGTGGTGACAACCCACCCTGGCACCTCAAGTCTCAGCAGGACTAAGCACACCCTCTCCCACTGAGGCCAGACAAGTCAGCCAGGCCCCTCTGGATTCTTATTCGTACCTTGAGTAGTAATGGATCTAGTTTGCATCCCCTGACATGTGTGTATATGTATATTCTTTTCCTGATAGGTATGCTAGTATTTCTTATTGTTTCCCAGTATACAAAAGGAACATGACTTTTTGCTATTCATCAGGAGACTTGGAGTGTCATTTACCTTTGGATTTCCTCAGCTGAACTAAACTCCTAATTTTGAAATAAACCTTACCTAAGAATGATCCATTTTTAAGGCATGGCTAGAAAGCAGTTAGTATTTTGTTTCATGCATTTGTGTCTTGCTTATTATTCATATGTTTCTGTGTAGTACTTTTGTCTAATTCAGTTACAAAAATTGTCTTTGCCTTGTAAAAAAAAATTAGCAGGCTTCTTGTATATTTTAAAATTCTGGAAAACGTAATTCAAATTCTTCCTGTGACAAGCACTGTAACTGGTAAATGTGTAAAGTGATCATGCAACTCTTGTTTCAATGTTGCAAGTCACGTTCTTATTGTACGATACTCAAGAGTTCCAGGTTTTAAAGCCTAGAGGGCAGGGTTTGCATTCTGTTTTCTTTTCATTTGCCCTCTCTGTCACCTTGGGAAAATGATTTCTCATCCTTAAAATGGCATAAAAGAACCAGCATAGAGGATTTAGTAAGGACTGGAAAAGATGATTGATAGAAGTTATTCACCTTAGCACATGGCAAGCCCTTAACAAATATCTGTATTTTGCATCTCTGATTTATTTAAAAGGTAATTAGGTTCATGACATAATAGCTACCAAATGTTTTAAGTTTTGTGCTGGCTTTATTGCTTATAAATATCATGTGCATTTGAAAATGTTGAATTCTATCAAGGTCTTTTTTCTCATTTTTGATAAAAGACTTCAAAAATAAAGCCCAATATTGCCAGCTGAAAGAATACCATTTTCTTATGGCTGATAGAGAACACACAGTTTCAGCTGTCCAATTTGTGAAATAAAATGGATCTGACAGACCTAGCTGATGAAAAATTGCCCTCTATTGAAGGCAGCAAACAGGCTTTGTGAATTTTTCCCTTAAATGAAATATATGACTTGGATCTCTACTTAGAAAATAAGTTTATTTCTTGCTGTCTTCAAGAAGCAAGATTCTTTTGTGGAGGGGGAAAGACCAAATGTAGTGATGTGGTTACCTATAATTTCCTTACTGTAACCCTTCCCAGTCTGTCTTCATGTGACCATAAAGATGGAATAGAATGTATCATTTACGCACGAGCAGACAGTAATTGAGGTAACAAGCACCTCTAAAACATGAGGCAGTGAGTGAGCTAGATTGCTTGTGTCAGACAGAAGGAAGATGACTCAAGGTTGGGCCAGATCATTTTTATTATTGGATAGATATCTTGGCCAATATTTTGTGAAGAAATACTGTGTATAATTTTTAAAAAATTATTTTCAAGTGGGGATGGGATGATGAAGTATTAAGAATCAACCATTTATTTTGTGGGTCCTTCCTTCCTTCCTTCCTTCCTTCCTTCCTTCCTTCCTTCCTTCCTTCCTTCTTTTCTCTCTCTCTCTCTCTCTCTCTCTCTCTCTCTCTCTCTCTGTGTCTTTCTTAGACAATATCTCACTCTGTAACCCAGGTTAATCTGTACACTGGACCTCACTGTGTAGTACAGGTTGGACTCAGACTTGGCAATTTTATTCTTCACAAAAACCCAGTCTAAATTATTTTGAATGAGTCACCTGGACAAACAGGGTATACATCTTCAGTGAAGATTATAATTTTTTTTTTTTAGCCCTTGTTGGCTCTTTTTACATGTGGCCTCATAGGAAACCGCAAACTGCATGTTGTTCATGCCGC